GACCCCAGCAAGACCATGTACGTTTTGTTGCTCGTGGTGCTGGTGCTGGTGCGCTTAGCCGTGGTCGTGGCCAGAGTTTTGCTACAAGGCCTGTGCGTGGAGTGTGCCATGGATGTGGTGAAGAGGGCCACTTCATTGCATCTTGCCCGCACGCAAAAAACTAGGTTGGACTGGTGACACGGGGCCGCCGTCAGTCGTCCGAGTGGAGCCCCTCGAGGAGGTATGTGGTGCGATCTCACCCATTATTGTGCACGTTGATGTTTGTCTTTCGTCTTCGTCTTCGTCTCCTGTTGTTGCTCTTGTTGATTCTGGTTCAAGTGTGTCGTTAGTGCATTCTAAATTGTTGCCTAATTTGACAGAGCGACCTCCTCTAGAGTCTGCTCCGCGGTTGTGTGCAGTCAATGGCGCACAACTTCCTGTCGTTGGATCCATGGATCTGTGTATGTCGCTAGGAAATCTGTCTTTCCAGCACACGGTTGTTGTGTCTCCTGGTATTCACTGCGACATGATTCTTGGTTCCGATTTTTTGTTGCAGCATGGTGGTGTATTAGACATTGCTCGTGGTGTTGTGATGTTTGGCGATGTGTCTGTTCCGTTGCATGTTTCTGGTTCTGGGTGTCCTCCGTCACGTACGCCCTATGATCGTATTGTTCCGCGTAATACTTCCCCCTCATGTAATACTCATAGTACTCCTCATTCTGATGCATGCTCCGACGATGTACCTGTTTCGTCGTATTCTTCTCGTGTTGCCCTTGACGATTCATTGTCTGCACGGGTTGTTGAACCCATGGCTCAACCTGGCGTTGTCCCGGCGTGTGCGCCCGAAAGTGTGGCCGACCCTGTGGTATACTCATCTCGTGTGGTGTTTGAGATGGAGTTGTCGGTACCTGCCGGACATGTTGTCTTGGTGCCTTGTGCAGCTGTTGATGTGTGCACGGTTGCGATGGATTGCGTGGCAGATCCATTGGAGTCCTTTATGGCGAAGCATCCAGATGTGGCAGTGACTCCTAGTCTTGTAACTGTTGGCCCTAACCAAACACGTGTGGTTGTGGCTGTTGAAAATCATGCAAATCATCCTATACTCATTCATAAAAATACCAATGTTGCCGAACTTCATCAAATTCCTACAGATTGTGAACATATTGACGACACTGAAGCTATGGTTTCCTCAGTTTCACCCGACCCGATCCCGCTAACTGAGCAACGCAAGAAAGTCATCGATGAATATATCAACGCACAAAATCATCTCTCCACAGAACAGTCTCGCACGCTCACTGAACTACTTCATGATAACCACGATTTATTTATCTTGCATGATGATGACTATGGCTACTGTGACATATTCCCTCATAAAATTAACACAGGACAAAATAACCCTATAAAACAACCTACCAGGCGGATTCCATATCACCGCCGGAAGGCTCTGCAAGATCTACTGAATACGCTGTTAAAGCAAGGCATAATACAAGAATCGATTAGTCCGTGGGCATCACCCATAGTATTGGTGCCAAAGAAGGATGGCTCTCTTCGACTCTGTATCGACTACAGGAAGTTGAACTCTGTCACCGAGCCTGATGCTTACCCGATTCCCCGGGCGGATGACATGCTTGATTCCCTGTCTGGCTGTCGGTATTTCACGTCCCTTGACTTAGCGTCAGGGTACTGGCAAATAGCAATGGAAGGAAGCGACAAGGCTAAGACGGCATTTACCACGCCACTGGGCTTGTTTGAGTTTAATGTTCTGCCGATGGGCTGCAGGAATGGCCCAGCGACATTTCAGCGCGTAATGGAAGCAGTCCTGAGTGGCTTATGTAACACACCGGCCCAGCCATTCTGCCGTGTGTTCTTTGATGATGTCCTGAATGCCAGCGAAACACTGTCTGGCCAACTCCAGATTCTGCTGCCCGTGTTCGCGCGAGTTCGGTCCGCTGGACTGCGGTTCAATCTGAAGAAATGCTCCTTCTTCCAGGAGGAGGTCACTTTCCTAGGACACCGCGTGTCAGCGGAGGGCATCTCCCCGGATGAAGCCAAACTCGTCGCGGTCAGGAACTGGAAGACTCCGAAATCTGTCACAGCTGTCCGCGAGTTCCTTGGCTTCGCTGGATATTATCGCCGCTTCATCCGTGGGTTCGCCCAGCGTGCTGCTCCACTGACTGCTCTGACAGGCAAGAATGCTCGCTTTGCATGGTCGAAAGCTTGCGAAGCGGCGTTCCAGGCTCTGAAGCGTTCGCTTGCCAGTGCGCCGGTGATGGCGTACCCCCAGTTTGAAGCTTCAGCAGGTGCATTCATTCTGGACACCGATGCGAGCAATGTGTCGATTGGTGCAGTCCTCAGCCAGATCCAGGATGGAACTGAGCGACCAATTGGGTACGGCAGTCGTGTACTGACGAAAGCTGAGCGCAACTACGATGCTAGCGATCGTGAGGCCCTTGCTCTGGTCTATTTTGCGGAGTATTTCAGGCACTACTTGTTGGCACGACCATTTGTTGCCAGGACGGACAATACTGCGTTGACTGCACTCCGGGACCTGAAGGAACCCCGCGGACGGAAAGCACGTTGGCTTGACTGTTTATCCGAATATGAATTCCGAGTCGTCCACCGTCCAGGTCGCCAACATCTGAATGCTGATGGTCTGTCGCGCTTGATAGCCGAACCTGAAGCACATGTGCACAGTGAGTCTCCGCCACTGGCACCAACGCCGCCGCAAGATGCTGCCCCGTCTCCTCCGCCGAGTCCGCCGCCTCTTGCCCGTTATGTTCCGCTGTCAGCTGCTGCTGAAGTGCCACTTGCTGCTGATGTTCCTCCGGCTGCCGAGATTCGTCCTCCGGCCGTTTTTGTTCGTCCTCCTGGTTCCTCTGCCGCTGGACCGTCGTCACCTGATTGTTTCAAGCCTCAGAGTCTTCTTGCTCCGTATGCTGATCCTGCTCTGTCTGAGTGTTTCACCAGATATGATGCTGTCACTGGCAAGTTTGTTCGACCGCCTGAAGCTGTTTCCCGTCCTCCCGACTGTCAACCGCCTGCCGTTACTGCTTCTCGTCCTGACCCGATTACGCTGCCTGATGATGATTTGCCGCGCTGCGTTCCGCCGCTACAGCCACCGTCGTCTGATCCGGTCCGTACTTCTTCTCCTGTTTCTCGTCGTTCTGGCCGTGTCCGCACTGCACCTGCTCGACTAGCTGACTATGTCCTGGACTGAGTTTATTATTTGGTTTGTTTTCTTTTGTTGTTTCCTAGGTATTTCGTTCATTCCCGTGGACGTGAATTTTAGCTAGGGGGGCACAGTGTAATAGGTGTATGTATGCTACGACCTGAATACTCACTATTTGTATTTCCCGCTCGTTCCCCTTGGCAATGAGCACTCACATAGAAGAGCGCATGCTCCAGTTCTGTTGTAGTCTAGTCTTGAGTTGTCGTTGTCCTGTTCTCCTTGTCTACACTCTTCTCGAATACTTCTATAAATTATCCAATCATATAAAACCCCTGTGTTCCGGTGTGAGGGGGCATCATTAGCCGGGAGCAGCTAACACATGCAAGTGGATTTCATTGCACTTCTCAATTTGGGAAATGCTCGATTATGACAATTCTCCGTGTGAGTGCACTAGCCCTGAACAGACATGTAGGTGAACTGTTTGTGGTGTCTCATAGCCTACCTCACGACCTTCTGCTTTCTTTCTTCATCACTTGTATCTTGCAGGTATATCATCCCGTGACGACCACATTGAAGTCTGAATTTGAAGTGTGAAGATGCTTCAGCAACCACATCGTACTTTTCCATTGCTTTCATTGTGCTTCTACTGTGCATGTGTGTAACTTGTGGGGTAAACATGTGATGACATTGTATGCTGGCCACACGGTCAGATGTTCATGCGTCTAACGTACACCTGCATGTTATGCATTGAAAAGGGTTTGCCACTTGCGATCCTGGGACGAGTATCAGGTCCGCTTTGTCCTGTGTGGGCTGTATCAGATTGCTGTTCACTTCTCTATCTGTTGGATATGTGCCTTTCTGCAAGTTTCTTGTGTATGATGGCCACTTCCTTGCTTGTCACTTTGTATGATATTACATTCTGTATTCGCTTCCATGGCATGGTCTGCAAACTGCAATCCTTGGGCAAATGTCATGTTTGCTATGTTGTCACGCGGCTTTGGCCGTCAGCTTGTCTACACGCTGTAGTTGAATTATTTTTGTTTCACAACTGACTTCCTCAAGTACGGTGGCCACTGCTTTGCATGGCATTATACATGAAGAATTTCCTGTTTGTGCCGTGTGCATGTGCGTATGTGTGCGTGGCCACGTGTGTGTGCCGTGTGCATACACATGTTTGTGTATCTGTGTGCGGGGTAGCGAGGCGGGGAGGGCTGATATGTATCAGTGTGCTATTGCAGTCGCATGGCTACACACAGTACATCGCGCGCGTGGTCATCATGTTTACCTTCGGGGTTGGGGTGGGGAGGGAACGGAAAAAGAGCTGAAATTATCCATATAAAAATCGCTCTGTGAGCGGTTCTGAAAAACCTTTACTGGTACTGCCCCGTCGTAAAAGTAAGAAATTAGAACTGGCCCATTGTCCCCCCAAATGCGAACTGATCCACCTAAATCGCGAATGACGGGACCCGAACGCACCAGTAGCACGAGGTTCCTACCTGTGGATGCAGATGGGGACGTTGGTCCGGACCATAGGCCATGTACTGTACTAGCGGTAGGCTTCCCTATCAAAATAATAAATTCTACTACTACTACTGGTGTTAGTCTGTTACCCTATGATAATTGCCGTGATCCTGTGCCCTCCCGACCTCGTGCTACTGGTGCGTTCGGGTCCCGTCATTCGCGATTTAGGTGGATCAGTTCGCATTTGGGGGGACAATGGGCCAGTTCTAATTTCTTACTTTTACGACGGGGCAGTACCAGTAAAGGTTTTTCAGAACCGCTCACAGAGCGATTTTTATATGGATAATATATATCTATGCCGCAGTGATTACCATGCTGGCTGTACACTTACCGGCAACATCACAAGAACGCTCGCCACGGCGTTGATCCAGGAAATCACAGACTCCTCATCCGACATTTTCATGACACTGCAGCGGGGGAAAGCACAAAGATATCATACACCTACCACCCAAAGGCTAATAGCCGCCGCTATAAGCTGTTGGGAAGTGATGCAGAAAATCATATTCAGAAAAGTGCAAGGTATCTCAGGGGCGTCGGAAGGTATTTTAGTGTGGTACGGTCAGCCACCTGAAGTACAATTTACTCGGGGGGGGGGAGGGGTTGCTGAGCCGAAAATTTTGGAAATTTAGATCCCAAATCAGTGCATTTTATTGATTCACAGGGTACTTGGGGCAAAAAAGTGGTCCGGTCAATACCGTAGTGACTGTACCGTGTCCGACGCCCCTGTATCTATATGTAAATGTAGCCCAAGATCAAGCTTCACCTTCACATGCAACTAAACGAATCACCTACAGAATAGAGCACATTGAAAGTTGTGAGCAAGATTATTGAATTGTGTGATGCAAGAGCAAGTCCATCACTGTAGTTTCTGTAGCACCACATTGCTAATATCGAGCACTAGGAATATGAATATCGAGCACTAGGAATATGAATAGCGGGTCCACTCTGTTAAGTGTTGGGTGGGATGCCCGGGCCCCGAGACGGCGCACAGTCAGTGTTGAGCTGTGGCTAGAAGCCACTGGCGTGCATGTATAACTTATCACCCATGCTATGTCAGGCTAAAAGGAGAGATGCTGCAAGCCATGACATGACCGTGTGCACCGTCGCAGTGCCCGTGTTGACGGGGACGCAGTGCGGCTGTGCTCATATGACTGTGCCTGTGTCCCTGCTTACTTTGCTATCATGGCCTCCAGCAGGTCGGTGACGACTCTTTCACCGTCGCAGGGCAAGGCCAGAAGCTCCAGGCACGTGCAGTGAACTGCCAGGTCGGTAGAGTTGGAGAACTCCACAAAGCGCCAGTCTAGATGTGGAAAACCAGTATCGTGGCCCTGGAATGCTACAGCAAAACTTGGGTGAAGGAAAGTAGCTGCAGATACACCTGTATCTGGATATATCTAAAACGTTACAGGTACGACGTTTGCAATCACCCGCTTTATCGGACACTTGTCAGATAACCGACCCGAAAAATTTACCCTTCCGATTTCAACAGAAGCCCAAAGATTTCACCGTACCAAGAGAACATAGCCATGCACTAGACTGTCCATGTACGTGTAACAGTTTACAAGACACATACACATAGTGGTTAACATTAAACCAATACTATAACCATTCTATCCTCACCACATTAGGAACAAATGACTATTGTCTGGGCATCTGGAAAACTTGGGGTGTCCGATTTGGGCGTGAATACCGTAAAGTCCGCTGCAAACGCCCACCCCACTTTCGCAAGGTCTGCTGGCCTATACGCACTGACCCCATGCACTTTCACCCCTGCTGTACGAAAGTGCATCTCACACCGTAGCGCGAGGAGTACTTTGCTACGGTAAACTATGTCCATTTTCCGGGTTTCAAAATGTTTTTGGGCACTAGTTACGAGCTACAGTCCATTTCAAAACTATAGACGCTATGCCAGCATCTATACCACATAAAATCTGTGATCACTTTGTGCATAATTTTTTCCAAATTGGGCGTCTGTTATCCAATCGTTTAGAAACTATATGAGAGTAATTGTGGAGCGGTCCTGACCAATATTCCGAAAACTATTCTCAAAAAGTTCCAGCCAAATTTGAAATATTTCAAAAACCCTACGCGTCTATAGTTTTGAAATGGACTTTAGCTCCTAGTGATTTTATGATGTTGGTTTTATTTCGCAAATCCAAACGGCAGTTACTTCGGAATAACAAGGTAGCGAAGAACAGGCCATTGCAGGAACCTTGGTACACTTCTGACGGTGTTTCAAGCCATCATTTCCCAATCACACAACGCGCAAAGCCAAGGGTTTTTTTTTAGCACTTCAGAGTTTTTAACAAAATAGCAGCGACTTTGTAGGTGTAGCTTCTGTGACATCCCCCCTGTTCGACTTGCAACTGCAATACTGCGACGTTGAATGACGCTTCGTCAGAACAATCACCATTCCATTCTGAAAGCGCGACATCGTGGCACTGCAGAAATTTCATGATTTGAAAACCAGATGGATTCTACGGCATTACTTCATGGAGAACGAACTAATGACAAAGACGACTCATTCATCGTATGAAAGGAAATCTCGACCGAAGTTTTTTTTCTTTGCAGCAAGATAATGACAATTGCTTTTCCAGAGCTTCTTGATAAGACATAGGCAGTTTGTAGGCATATTAGTCGTTCTCGTACCCATTCCACCTTCATGCCAGTTTTCTACAACTATATTGACCTGGAAAAGACGAAAATAGTATGGACCCGCTGGGGTGGGCGTTTGCAGCGAAAAGGGCGCTTGCAGAGGACTTTACGGTAATTTTTCAACACCGCATGTACACCGTGTGCACTGCAAGCATATTATTCCGCTCCTAAACAGAGTAAACCTTTTTAGATCCTTTTCAGTAGGTGGTAGCGGCTCAGATTGACCTAGTAAACTGATTCCCAGCGGCGGCGGTGGCGGTGGTGGCACAGTCATAGGCGATTCAGACTACGGCCAAAATCACGTCTGAACTTGAATTTCCATGGTGATGCCGTCGTGTTTCAAATTTTTATGCACAATCTCTGATCAAATCCATCTGAGTCGTAGAAACGTGGTCACATTTGGCCGTAGTCTGAATCGCCTATTAAGAAGTAGAACGGCTGCGGACTGGATACTCTTGACAAGCTTCACCAGCAATGCCGTGTAGTAGTCCAGCGGCGGTACCCAGCAGTTGGCAGTGGCCGGCTCCGCTTTCAACAGGTAGTTCTGAAACAGAGTTGACAAACACCTGCACACACACACACACACACACACACACACACACACACACACACACACACACACACACACACACACACACACACACACACACACACACACACACACACACACACACACACACACACACACCTCAGACCTCAGACATGCCCATCGCGGGAGCGATGATAGCGAACAGCTATGTTTTAGACATAGCAACTTGTGCTGGGATTACACCATTCAACAGCTTGCAAGGCTGATGAATTGACCGCCACTATTTTTAGCCTGGTATCCACCACACACACACACACACACACACACACACACACACACACACACACACACACACACACACACACACACACACACACACACACACACACACACACACACACACACACACACACACACACACACACACACACACACACACACACACACACACACACACACACACACACACACACACACACACACACACACACACACACACACACACACACACACACACACACACACACACACACACACACACACACACACACACACACACACACACACACACACACACACACACACACACACACACACACACACACACACACACACACACACACACACACACACACACACACACACACACACACACACACACACACACACACACACACACACACACACACACACACACACACACACACACACACACACACACACACACACACACACACACACACACACACACACACACACACACACACACACACACACACACACACACACACACACACACACACACACACACACACACACACACACACACACCTTGACCTTTGACCTTTGACGCCCATCGTCGGAGGCGATGATAGCAATGCTACGGCAGAAGCCATAGCAACTTGTGCTGGGATTACACCATTCAACAGCTTGCAAGGCTGAAGAATTGACCGTCACTATTCAGCCTGGTCTACACCATACAGCTATTTGGAGTGACATTTTCTGGCCAGTGAATCCCTTTTTTGGTCTTTTCATTTTTTTCATTTTTTTTTCTTTTCTTTTTTCCCCCCACACACACACACACACACACACACACACACACACACACACACACACACACACACACACACACACACACACACACACACACACACACACACACACACACACACACACACACACACACACACACACACACACACACACACACACACACACACACACACACACACACACACACACACACACACACACACACACACACACACACACACACACACACACACACACACACACACACACACACACACACACACACACACACACACACACACACACACACACACACACACACACACACACACACACACACACACACACACACACACACACACACACACACACACACACACACACACACACACACACACACACACACACACACACACACACACACACACACACACACACACACACACACACACACACACACACACACACACACACACACACACACACACACACACACACACACACACACACACACACACACACACACACACACACACACACACACACACACACACACACACACACACACACACACACACACACACACACACACACACACACACACACACACACACACACACACACACACACACACACACACACACACACACACACACACACACACACACACACACACACACACACACACACACACACACACACACACACACACACACACACACACACACACACACACACACACACACACACACACACACACACACACACACACACACACACACACACACACACACACACACACACACACACACACACACACACACACACACACACACACACACACACACACACATTAACTACAACACACAGCAGCTTGCGGTTAGGAGGGTGCTGGCCAGCGAAGTGAGAGGCTACAGAGAGAGCAGGATCTTGGCGGGGCCAAGAGGATAGTCACGTCCAAGGGACGAAGACCGAGAGCCCTGAGTAGCCGGAAATGAGCATGGCCAACACCCCTTTATTTACTTTATCAAAGTAAATGAGAGATGAGAAATGGGAGGTGGGTGGGTGAAACACAATGATCTGACAAGAGTGATCCGCTCACAGAACGAATCGAAATATAATACACACTACGAGCAAGGAAGAATGATTGTCGCAGAGAACGGATCGAAAATATATAGCAGAGCAAACTCTAGCAAGACATGCAACGATGCATGCCACCCACGTTAAGCTACGAGCAAGCGTCATCATAACGCAGCCACACGCCTTCCACATCGGAGGCGAGCGACACGCATGAATGCCAAACTTTAGTATGACACGTTGAGTGCCTACGACGCATGCCGCCTACGTTGAGCGTCGCGCATGAATGAATGTCGCGTTGAGTGTCACGTTGTATGACACATAGAATGCCATGATGCATAGAGTACCATGTGAGCACGTACAGCGCACGTTCATAGCAGCATAGTTGAGTGGTAGCACGAAGCAGCCGCGTGCACCCATTAATCTGCATTATTACTATAATGCTACATTAACTACAACACACAGCAGCTTGCGGTTAGGAGGGTGCTGGCCAGCGAAGTGAGAGGCTACAGAGAGAGCAGGATCTTGGCGGGGCCAAGAGGATAGTCACGTCCAAGGGACGAAGACCGAGAGCCCTGAGTAGCCGGAAATGAGCATGGCCCATTGTGGCCAGCAAGCCTCGTACCGAAGCAACCGTGAGCGGGATTAAAGACATAGACACTGCCGGAGCAGGATCCTGGCGGAGCCAAGAGAGAGGTCAGAGAGAGGTCACTGCCATTAATCTGCATTATTACTATAATGTTACATTAACTACAACACAGCAGCTTGCGGTTAGGAGGGTGCTGGCCAGCGAAGTGAGAGGCTACAGAGAGAGCAGGATCTTGGCGGAGCCAAGAGGATAGTCACGTCCAAGGGACGAAGACCGAGAGCCCTGAGTAGCCGGAAATGAGCATGGCCCATTGTGGCCAGCAAGCCTCGTACCGAAGCAACCGTGAGCGGGATTAAAGACATAGACACTGCCGGAGCAGGAGGGATCACTGCCAGAGCAGGATCTTGGCGGGTAACCACCAGCCACGGGTAGTTGAGATGGTGGTGGAGCTGAACGTGTCCGAGAACGTCTTGGAATTGCCTGAGAACGTCTTGGAATAGCCGGTGGCAATCGTGCACGTTGCCCCGCTGTAGCCACTGTCACATTAGCAGCCTTGCTAGCGTTCGGCCTTCGACTGCTTGAGTGTGGCAATGATTCATGTCTCGTTGACATGGAGACGAGGCAAGGAAATAGAAAGGCAGATAGACACAGAAACAGACAGAAAAGCAGACAAACAGACACAAAACAGACAGACAGACAAACACACAAACAGACAGAGAATTCAGGGTCAGCCGGGTAGACACTGCCGAAGCAGAATGTTGGCGGAGCCAAGTATCTACAAGAGTCTGCGTCCGAGGGACGGCGACCGAGGGCCCTGAGTAAAGAGAGGGGTCACTGCCGGAGCAGGATCTTGGCAGGGCCAAGAGAGAGGTCAGACAAAAGTAATACGTAGACACTGCCGGAGCAGAATGTTGGCGGAGCCAAGTATCTACGAGAGAGGATTCAGGGTCGGCCGGGTAGACACTGCCGAAGCAGAATGTTGGCGGAGCCAAGTATCTACAAGAGTCTGCGTCCGAGGGACGGCGACCGAGGGCCCTGAGTAAAGAGAGGGATCACTGCCGGAGCAGGATCTTGGCAGGGCCAAAAAAGAGGTCAGACAAGAGTAATACGTAGACACTGCCGGAGCAGAATGTTGGCGGAGCCAAGTATCTACGAGAGAGGATTCAGGGTCGGCCGGGTAGACACTGCCGAAGCAGAATGTTGGCGGAGCCAAGTATCTACAAGAGTCTGGTAAAGAGAGGGATCACTGCCGGAGCAGGATCTTGGCAGGGCCAAGAGAGAGGTCAGACAAGAGTAATACGTAGACACTGCCGAAGCAGAATGTTGGCGGAGCCAAGTATCTACGAGAGAGGATTCAGGGTCGGCCGGGTAGACACTGCCGAAGCAGAATGTTGGCGGAGCCAAGTATCTACAAGAGTCTGCGTCCGAGGGACGGCGACCGAGGGCCCTGAGTAAAGAGAGGGGTCACTGCCGGAGCAGGATCTTGGCAGGGCCAAGAGAGAGGTCAGACAAGAGATATACGTAGACACTGCCGGAGCAGAATGTTGGCGGAGCCAAGTATCTACGAGAGGTCAGAGAGGGGTCACTGCCGGAGCAGGATCTTGGCGGAACCAAGGGAGGAGTCAGAGAGGGGGCACTGCAGAGGGAGATCTTGGCGGAGCCAAGAGAGGGATGAGGACAAAAAGCCCCCTGGGTAGCTAGGCATTAAATGTGTGTGGATTGAGACAGCATGTGGTAAAGAGGACACTGACAAGAGTTCAAGCAACACGGATGAGAACCAGTAAGACAGTTACCTTGATGATCTCCTTGGCGGTGTCCCTCATTTCATGCCGGATAAGTGCTCGTGCAGCAAAGGGAGCTTGCCCAAATAGAAGGACGAACATTGCTGCGGTGATTGGCTAGACCATGGTGTCAGGTCGCGCCGCAGCTGTGGGAGCAAAGGTTCTGGAGTCATCCAACTTGGTCCGGGCACGGAGCATCGATGGTATTGGAGGTGACTGGCAGGTGTGATGCTCGAAACAGTAAGTAGTACTGGACACAAGTAGAGGGTGTAGATGAGTGCCATGACCAGAGAAGAACTGAACGGCTTGTGCCAACCTTCAATACGTTGACAGAGTCTGGTGCCACCAGCTCAGGGTCGTCCTTGACTGAGGTTGAGAGGTGCAGCATTCTGTGAGATGAACTCAGATGTGGCCTTGACAAGGTCAGACAGGCAGGGCATAATAACGTACGGGTGGGTAGCGAATGTGAGTTGGCCTAGAAGGCAGGCGAGTTCGTGCTTGAGGACGCAACGCCTGTCAGTGTGGCAGAGACTAAATGACGTCGGGCCAGAGAGGTTG